AACTCAAGAAGAACTGAGTCTTGCAAAAAAATGCTATGACCAGCAAAAAAGACTTTATTTTTTGTACTTCTGTTTGGAACAACAAGAAGAAAAGATGGGCCCCATTGTTTGGACAGAGTGACTTTGCTCAGTGACAGAGAGAAAGCAAGATTTACCCAAGTTCTGTTATGCTTCCATCTCAAAAAGGGTGGTTATCAGAGTAGGAAGAGTCATACAGGCATTGATGAGAAGACAGAAGCTATGACTTCATGGATCAGGTCGCCTGGTCCACATGTGTTGTGCCCCAGAACACCCAGAGAATTGGCAAATGAGATTTATGAAGCTGGTGTCCATAATCTTCGAGGGACTAATTACAAGACAGGTGTTGGCAGACTGAAAGCACTCAAAAGTTTCAAAATGCAAAAACCATCTTGCACTGTCCAAACTAGTGAGCATGGTGTCAACTCTAAGGGAAAATTCTGGACTAGATTATTCAGCAGGCAGGCTGTGAACACTGTTTTAAGAGGAACAGTGAGCCCTGAGAGTCAGCATGGATTCACGAAGAATCAGGCCTGCCAGACCATTCTCATCTATTTTTAGAAACAGTTACCAGGTCACCTAACTGGCTTAGTTGGGGGAGCATGAGACTCTTGATCTCGGGGTCGTGAGTTTGAGGCCCACATTGGGTGTAGAGATTACTTAAATGGATAAATAAAAACTTTTAAAAAAATTTACCTTAAAAAAAAAAATAGTTATCTATTTCAACCTGGTAGACAAAGGAAGTGCTATAGACCTTCTCTAGGGTTTAGCAAGACATTTTCAGAATGTCTTCTGACATCATTGTTGGCAAGACAGAGACATGTCCACAGAGCATCCAGGAAGGTGAAGGGCTTGGTGATGGGATGTTTGGGTTGATTTATAACTGGTTGGATGAGCATACCCAAAGAGTAATGATGTCAGTCTGTCAGCCTGTCTGCCTGGCCCTACCCTGTTCACTGTTTAATCAAAGCCTGGGATGAGAACATTGATGGTAAGCTTAACAGTTTTGTCAGGGATATGAAGTCAGGGGGGGAATGCCAGTATGATGGATGCCTGCGCCAGGTTTCAGAAATACCTGGACTGCCTCAAACAGTAGCCAGATAATGCAGAGCTGGGCTCTCAGCTCCAGTGAATCCCCAGTACATACAAGATGGGGGGGAAGAGGTCCAAGTGCAGGCCATGGGAGAGAACCTGAGGGACATGTTGTTGACAGAGAGTGTGCTGTTAGAATTGGTAGTATGATGGGGTTACAAAGAATAGAAAATTTGATGACAGTTTTAATAGAAATAAGGTTTCCCAAATAAGAAAGCTCATTGTCCCTCTTTGAGCTGCACTGATTAGACCACATGCTGTATTTATTTCCACACACAACACTTCACTTCTGGACCTGACACTCTGGCTTTCACCAGCTAGAGTAAACGCAAGCGGGAGTGACTTGGATGGCTGGAAGATTTCAGAACCATGTCCTAGGAATATATTTGAAAGTTGGGGCCACGGATACTGGAAAAGAGAAACTGATGATGGTCTGTGAGAGCAGTCTCAGGGATTTGAAAGGCTGTCATGGGAGGAGGAATTAAACCACTCTGGGCAGCTTGAGGTTCGGCAGACGAGAATTGCAAGAAGACCATTGTGCTCTGTAGAGGGAAGATGGCCCCGCCAGAACCTCCCTCAGCAGAACAAAAGCCTCAGGGGTTTTTGTTGGCCTGTAGTCGTGCCTTCCCAGAGGCCCAGTGGTTGACCAGGGCCCGTAGTATCTGTGCAGGGAGTAAGGAGCCCTTCAGGCCCCATCTCAGAAGTCCTGTCTCCCAAGCTCAGGGCAAGGACCTTTGCTCAGAAGTGGGGACTGACTTGGCCAGAGGCAATCGGTAAAGGCAAATAATTCCCTATTAAGCTATCAACATTCTTGCAAGAGCAGATCGACTTCTAGAGGCAGCCACCTAACATCCTGTTAACGCATTCCAGATATATTTTGAGCACCTACTACATCCCCAGGGCACCGTTAGATGCTTCACGTGGGTCATCTGGTTTAATTCTTATAACAGTAGGATATTATTATCTATTTCCATCAAGAAGATACTGATGCTTAGAGAGAGGGTAAGTCATTTGCCTGAGTTCATGCGAGAGTCAAACCCAGAACCTGCGTGTTAGCCGTTCTGCCGCCTGGAGCAATAGTTCATCCTTCCTTCCCCGGCCCGTATCCCTGGCAGTCCCCAGTGGGTGTAGGGCCTGCTTCCCTGGGAGCCCTTCTCCCTTCCAGCCCCCTGAAGCTCTGCCTTCTCCTCCACTGGGAACTCGGGGAGAAAACAGCCCAGCTGAAAAATTAGGCCACGCTGGCGAGCACAGTACTTATTTTTTTATGACTAAGATTAAGCTGACAACCATGCAAAACATTGCAAACCTGTGTCGGCTGCAGATTTAATACCTCGCCCAGCCCACACAAATAATTCATGCTTCTGCATCGATGTCCAGAAAAAACAAATCAGCAGAAAGCTGGGCTCGTGCGTGCGTGTGTGTGTGCCCGCGCGCGCGAGCGTGTGTGTGTGTGTGTGTGTGTGTGTGTGTGTGTGTGTAGCAGCCTTGTTTCCATTGAAGCAGCATGCCGGAAATACCCAAGCTCCAGGATTGCAGATCTAGCATTTTGCAATTTTTTTTTCTCTTAAAAGATTAAAGTACGTTTTCAAATGATTGAAGGTTGGTGGGAGGTGTAAATGTGGGCACTTGTCACATTAATTCTTCAGATGATTAAGTTCTTTTCCATTTCTTTAAAGCTGTTTGCAGTTGGGTTTGATGTCCTCGTTCTGGGTGAGTGTGTTGTAGCAGTTACCAAGGTGACTTTAGCTGACTTTCAACAATTTATTTTTCCCTCCAGCGTGAGATGTCTCTAGCCCTGTGTGCTGTTGATTCTTCTCTCCCAGCCCCACACCCTCACCCCAGTTGCTATTCATCAGCATTTTTGCTGATGCCCGAGATGCAGCCATCCTCTTGCGGGCCCCACGGGCTCCGAGGCCCCACCCCACAGCCTGGCTGCAGGCCCCTTCGGGCACATGGTGGCGGGTCCCTGTGCGGGCTGTTGTCAGAGATGGCACGGGGAGGTGACTGGCTCTTCCCCTTAGACTCACTCTGACCTCAGGCTTGCCACCTCACCTCTCTGAGCCTCCCTTTCCTCACCTGGGAGAGAAGGATTAACCATAGAATATACATGGGGTGCTCACTGTGAGGACTCAGCCAGTGAGTCTACCGACTCCGTGCTCTGGAGCAGAGAAGGGCTGCTGTCAGCATCCTGAGTTTTGCTCCTGTCTGGGCCCTGAGGGCACCCACTGAGAGCTGCTGGTCAGTGTTGCCCTCCTCAGAAGGGAGGCCTAGCAGCCGGAGTGTAAGGGACGGAGGTCTAGTCAGAGGTCCCCGGCTCCCACGCTGGCCTGCCACAGACCAGCTCTGTGGCCTTGGACCCATCACGGGCTCCCCTTTGTAAAGGGAAGAAGTAGATTAAACCACCTCAGAGTTTCCTTCCAGTCTTGAACTTCCGTGACCCTCTTGGCCATAGCATTTGTCTCCTTTGCAGGTCTTGTGAAAGGGTCTGTCAAAGGAGAAGCTGGGGCAAAGGGCGGTTTCAGAATTCGCTTTGGGAAACCAGAGGAAGACACCACTTTGTGAAAGAGCTGTCACATCTGGGGTAGAACCACACAGCTGGTAGGAATGGTCCCCGTTACCTCGGCCTCGGCGGGGCCCTGGGCTGTCCGATGCCACCCTCCATCCTTTCGCCTGCTGACCCCACACCCGCCCTCTGGGGAGGTTCTCTGCCTGTTGGGGTGCCTCACTGGTCACAGGCCCCAGCACTCAGCCCCCCAGCATGGGAGGAGGTTGGGCCTGCCCCTCCCTGGCTGTCTGACTGTGAGCCCTGACATCCTGGATGGCTCCTGCCTCTTGAATGATAAATAACTAGAGCTTCTCACCCAGTATTTTGATGGACACTTGGGGAATTGTTCTGAGATTCACAGCCCAAACCAGGATCCGGCCTTTTGAATAGGATCAGTGGGTAACCTTCATTTCCGGCTGAGGCAGATTTGAGAGGCTGTCAGTGGGGGCAGCTGAATTTGAAAGAGCATATCTTAGATTGCAAAGGGACCCCATGGCCTAGCTGTGGGATGAGCTGTTGGTGGGAAACAGGATAGGAGGGAGCGTGAGGCAGCAGTGACAGCTCACTGTGGCCAAGGCCACAGTCAGGAGGAATCTGGAACAGGGCTCCTGGGGCCTCAAAACCCAGCAGGATGGTGGCCTGGTTCTGCTGCCCAGCCAGGCCCACTAGTCTGACTCCTGAGAGTCTGGTTTCCGCCCCCTCGCCGAGGATTGTATCATTTCCTGGTCAGATGAAGGATATGTATGTCACGGCAGCTCCTGGCTGTTAGCGGGAGCGTGCATGCTCAGAGCCTGCAGAAAGTCCCAGCCTTTTCAGCTGGAAGGAAGCTCTTGGAGCCACACCTCCTGGGACTCTAGCACTCCAGCTTTGGGGAACTTGGGACCTGAGGCTCCAGGGCAGGGGAAGAAGGGCTTCCAGATGCTCTTGCTGCTATGTAGGGAAGACCAAGCCACTGTGACATAAACTTTTATATGGTGTGTTGGCCAAAGATGAGGCTTTAGAACCCGATCTAACTGCGATCGAATCCCAGCTCCATACTCCCCAACAGGGTGACTTGGGCAAGTTACTTAACCTCTCTGATCCCCAATTCCTTATCCATAAGAGGGCCGTAACAGTACCTGGAGTAGTACCTACTGCATGGGGATGTGGAGAGGAGTCGTCCGTGAGAAGTGCTTTGCCCAGCAGCTGGCGTTCGGCGAGCACATGGTGCATGGTGGCTGCTATTGTCACTGTCGTCAGTCACCGTCATTGTCGTTATTCAGGAGGCCAGCCTGACAGACTCCTGTCTTGCTCCTCCCCGTGGTGTTTACCTTGTGCTGAACCTCCTCCTGTGCTTGCCTTGCAGGAGCCGCAAAGACAGCCTGGAAAGCGACAGCTCCACGGCCGTCATTCCCCACGAGCTGGTCCGCACACGACAGCTGGAGAGTGTGCATCTGAAATTCAACCAGGAGTCAGGGGCTCTCATTCCCCTCTGCCTAAGGTGAGCCCCACGGCACACAGCTTGTCCTCAGGGAGCCACCAGGCCTATGCTTGCCTTCTCCCCCACACCTGGGCGGAGTCGGGGCCCCGGGAGAGAGGAGAGCCCGTCAGGCAGTGCCCTCTTGGGCCTGGGGCAGGGGGCCTGTGGACTCTGAGCCAGCCTGTAGCCCCCACTGGGCTGAAGGACACTCCTTTGTCCAGAGAGGTGTCCCTCAGCCCCGCTTCCTTAGGAAGGTTCAGCCGCCTGGCAAACTCAGACGCCCCTGCCATCCCACAAGCCCGGAGTCAGTCGCGCTGGGTAGCAGGGCAGAGGCTCTGGGGGGTTGGACTCTATTTTCTTCCGCTTGTTGCTCTTCCCATGCAAAACACTCAGTTCTCCAAACCCAGTGGCCAGCACAACAGACTCCTTGAGGGACCAAGAAGCCCAGCTGTGTCCTTTCCGCTGCTGTCCACAGTGCCAGAAACCCAGCCCTGTGGCCAGAATTCAGCGCTCTGCTTGGGGATGCTGCCCTGGGCTGAATCTGCTCAGCTGGCTTCTTGCAGAGCCCTTGGGATTTCCACCCTCACTTTTATAGCGGGAGGTGACCAGAATAACTCTCAACTCAGACAACAGTGACAAGGAAGAAGGGGGTTGCCCTGGTTTGGTCCCTCCCCACTGTCCCCAGAGCCTGAGAAAGGAGTTTGGATGCTAACCAACCTTGGCCAGCCACCCTGGGCAGCAGGGTAAAGATAGCAAGTGGTCAGAATGAACAGGGGCTGGCAAGGCCCCCCCCACCAGGACCCCAGCCATTTCCTCCCCAACTCCCTCTCTGGCTCAAGCTCAGGACCTTTAGACTGGTGAAGGGTTAATCTGAGGCAGCCTGGGAAAGCAAAGGGCAGGCTGGGCTTCCTTTGCTGACTGGCATCTCTGCCTCACTGGTTGTCCCTGCCTGCCCTTCCCCCAGGTGTATTTCCAGACTGGGGATTAACAGTAACTTCTTTTGGCTCCCTCAGAGTGACCCCATTTGGTGTCAGCCTTTATTATTATTGTTATTGTTGTTGATTTGTCTGTTTGGAGGTATGCTTGTGGCTTTGGGGCTAGCCGTTTTAATCCTGTGGGAGAGCCCATGAGCAGGTGGAAGACTCTCCCGTGGACACAGGGGTTGTGCTGTGAAGGCACTATGCCATCCTCCCAGGGGCTTGGCAAATTTGTTTAGGTACTACTTCACCTCTGCCCTTGAAACAGAAGGGACATGACCCTGCTCTTAGTTCTGGGCATGACCTTGGGCACATCGCTAACTGCCCTCTCTGGCCTCAGTTTCCTCACCAGGACACAAAGGAGGTGTCCTCCACTCCCCCCTGCAGGCCCTTTGAATGCTGATCTAATGTCTCTGGTAGCTTTGAGCACTTTGGAGCAGTGACAGTTGAGAACTTGGGAGAGGCTTCTCTCGGAAGGGGCTGAAATGAACATGTTTGGTTACAGTCCCCTGTTGGTGGGCAGGTGGGCAGGCAGGAGGGCATTTGCCAGGCACCCTGTCCCTTGGCCAGGCCTGATGCTCACGGTCTCTGTGTTCCCACCCCCAGGGGCAGGCTCCTGCATGGACGGCACTTTACATATAAAAGTATCACGGGTGACATGGCCATCACATTCGTTTCCACGGGAGTGGAAGGCGCCTTTGCCACTGAGGAGCACCCTTACGCAGCCCATGGACCCTGGTTACAAGTGAGAAGGCTCATTTTCTTGTCCCTACCTTCTTTCCGTGGGCTCTTCCCCCACCCGCCTCCTCCCTCTCCTCCCTTGGCAGCTCTTGGTGGCTCCCTTCCAGAGGGGCTGGTTATGGGAAGCCATGTGGAGTGTGGGTGCTGTTGCCTATCCCATCAACTCTAGGAGCACTTCCCAGCCTCTCTCCCCATCACCTGAGACACCAGGGATAACTCTCTAGGCCCTGGCCACTGGTTTGCCATGGAAATCCAGATTTGAGAGATGTGAGACTTTCTGCACCCTGGGTAAACCAAAGGCCAGGAAACCGAGGGTGCAACAGGGTAGGAGGAAGGATGGAAGCCACTCAAGCGGCTCTGTGGAAATCCCACCAGAATTCCTAGAAAATGGACATGTGGGCCTGGCCTGGGGCTGGGATGGGCAGGCTTCAGCAGACAGCCTCCCCACTCCCTTCATCTAATCGCTCTCCAATTCCTCCTAATGGAAACCCAGCTTTTCTGCACAGAAACCTGCTGGCTTGTCCAGAACACTTTGTCCTTCCTTTGCTCTTCTGGCTGGAGCACGGCTTCACAGCCACTGCCAAGTGGGGTGCTCGGGCCTGAGAGCCACAGGCCTCCTTCCAGCCCCCACCCTGTCCCAGGTCTCCAACGGGTACTTGGCCAGTCCGGCGCTCTCCCAGATGTATTAGGGGAACGACATCCTTTTTTCTTTGTTTGTTGGAGGTGTGAGAGGAAGAACACTGTACCTTACCTCTCTCAGGAGTATCAAGAAAGGGGATCTGACCCTAATCCAGAAATTGACTGTGCCTTGTTTGTGGTGTGTGGAGGGGTAGTTATAGTAGAGGGGAAGGGAATTATGCTGGTTTTGTGGGTTTAAGCCAGTCTGGGGGGTCTGTGAGGCATACTTACTGGTAATGTGGGCGTGTGTGTGTGTGTGAGAGAGAGAGAGAGCTTGCAGCTGAATTTCTCCTCCTTCAGGCCTCTCCCCTCCCCCCCCCGCCAAATACTAACCCTTAATTAAAAGAAACAGCAAACAAAGGACACCAACCACACTCCTCAGACGAGTGAGGTAGAAATGGAAGCTCGTGCTTTAGGAATATTGTGTTCCATAAATTATCTTGCCTTTTTCCACTGTTGTTATTACATTGTTTCATAACAAAATTACTTTGAACCATAAAGTTATAAATATGTTTTAAAAGTCCCACTTGGTAACATTAGATTTCTGTCCATGTGGTGTTGGTAGTTACTGTAATGTTTGAAACTAGCCCCACACAAGTGGAAAGGGCCTCCCCACCAGCCCCAGCTATGTCCCAGGAAGGCCAGGCTGCCTCTGTGTAGAGGAGGAGGGCTGCCTGTTACCTGGGCAGAGCTGGCAAGGAAGGGGGAGGTGGGCACCCAGCGGGAGAACCCAGCATTCCCTGAGAGTCGAGAGTTCCCAGGTCATCATTCCCAGTAGGTGACTGTGCTCACAGGTCTCAGAAGTGTCCTCAGATAGCATTTATGTGTATTGAAGGTTCAAGCACATGTTCTTGGGAAAGTAGGGATCAGGGTCTCCCCAAACTCAAGAAGAAATCCCCACCGCCCCCCCCGTTACATCTTATATCTTCACCTCTGAACCTATCCTTGGAGTCTTGCCATCCTTGGAACACCTTCCTACCCTGAGGAGGGGGTGGTCACCATCTCTATTCTCAGCAGCCCAGGAGCCCTGGCCCCCAGAGAACTCAGCAGATGTCATGTTGCCCCTTCGTGCCCCCAGAGTTCTGAATCCAACCCCAGTCCCAGAGCCCCTTATCCCAGGGCCACTGGTGTTGTGCTCCCAGGCCCACTCCCATCACCCTTGGGCAGCCCCTCAGGCTGCTGAAGCACTGGGCAGGGCCCCTCCCTTGCGCTGTTGCCCAGGAACCCGAGCGGTGGGAACCAGCCGCTGGCCTCGGCATGTTTCAATAAAGTTGCTGTGCTGGGAGCTGCTTAATCAAAGGCCTGTGTTATGGGCTCATTAGTGTGGTCCACCACGGGCCAGCTCACAGGGGAGCTCCCAGGAAGGCTGGCTGGGGCCCCGCTCCCCCAAGCATGCACCCTCACTCACAGAGGGGTTTCTCAGGCCCTTTCCAAGGAGCCCTGGGAAACCCTCCTCAGCCATGGAGCCAACACCCACAGCAGCCCTCCTCCCTTGCCCCCAAAGCAGTCAGCATTTTCTGCTTCTGACTGCCAGCCCATCTTCCCCTTTAGGGTCTTGCCACTGTGGTCACAGGCAGCTCCCTAGCTTGTGGGAACCTGGGCTTGTAATTACTTATGGGCCTCTAGGGCTCCCTCTGGGGCTGCTTGTCTCCCAGGAGTCTACAGGACCTCTTGGAGGCCTGGGGTTAGGCTCATCACCAAGGAGGGGCCACTCCACTGGACCAACAAGGGCCCCAGGCCCCTCTGGAGGCAGTCCCCCAACATGGAGGGGACTGACCTCCCCCTACCCCCGCAGGAATCTCTTGCTCAAATTCCCAGGATCAAGGGTATCTCCTTGGGCCCTGTGTACCACACCTGTTGGGGACAGAGGAGTAGGAAGGAGCTGAATAGAGCAGGCCCAAGAATGTGAAGAGCTTGACTTCTGTTTTCTTGGCTGCTACTTGAATGCTCCCTGTTGATCCCAGCTGAATGGGGAGGGGCTGGGATGACTTTCTTACATCAGCCTCACCAGCTTTGGAAGCCCTCGATCCCAGCCTTGGCACCTTGTTCTGGCTACCAGCCCAGGCCTGTTATCTCTTGGGGAAAAGGCACGGCAAAGACACCCCGCATGAGAGAAGAGTGACAAAGGAGAAGGTGAGGGAATCTGGGACCTCACTGGAGTGTGTGGAGTGGCCCCCCACACACCCACCTTCTCCTGGTCCTGCCCTCCCCTCCCCCCATCTTTCCACCCCAGAGAAATCCAGGCCCCAGCACACAGAAAGGCAGGGCCATCTGCAGCTCCAGGGTAAGCTCAGCGGACCCTCCCTGCCTCCTGGAGGAGCTGGGGAGGCAGGGATCCTGCTCCAATTCTATAGGCTTCGCAGTCTCCGGAGGTCAACACCTTGATTCCATCTGCCCTACCATCTGCTGTTTCCGTCCTCGTCCTCATGGAGATTGTAAAGCCTGTCAGCCAACTCCAGAGCTTTGCAGGAGGGTCTTCAGATCCTGGGGGAGGCCTGCCAGCCATCCTCTCTTGCACACCTTCCCCCAGCATTCCATATCCCGGTAGCTTTAACAAGCCTCTCTCCCTTGAGTCTGTCAACACCGGGCTGTTAGTCTTCTGAGCAGGATCCCAGCCCAGAGCTGAGTCGTTAGCCCAGCCCAGAGCTGAGTCATTAGCCCAGCCCAGAGCTGAGTCGTTCATCGGTTCATCCGTCCCCAGCCAGGGTTGACCTGAAGTGGGAGAAGTCGGCCCTAGAGGTCACGTGGGGGTCACATCACCAAATATGAGAATATTTTTTTAAGCCCTGCAATGCTTTCTCAGCTGTGTGGTGTCTGACAGCTCGCCCAGGTGGCGCGCCACCCCCCCCTTCCCAGCCATTCCCCACCCAGCCCTGGTGGGAGGCTTCGGGCTTGGGAGAAGATGCCCAGCTGCTGTTCCGAGTGGGCTCACCACTCCAGGCCAAGTTTGGGAATCACTGCTGGGCTCTCCTCCTAGCCCAGTGGCTGACTCACCACTGTCCTCTGGACAAGTCCCTGCCTTCTCCTGTCCCCATCCACCCATTTGGATGTTGTGTGGAAGACACCTGGCAGTCCCGGGCCCAGGCCCTGAGCAGTCCCTCTGCAGTGCCTCTACGGCTTCTCCTTCCGCTGGGGGGCTGGCCACAACTGTTCTCCCCGGAGACCTTCGCTTGGGCTGTCACGGGGCCTCACTGTCCGGGGGTGCACCCAGTTAGGGTTTAAATCCCCCCACTGTGCCTGGGGAGAAGACCATGATGGCCCGCTGTGCCCTCACCAGCCAGCAACCAGAGCAGCAGGAGTCTGAGCCTGCTCCTGGCCACCAAAGCCAACTTCTCACCACCCACTGAGAACAGGAAATGAGTGTATGCCCCGCACACCTCTGCCCCCAAGCCTGGGGGGTCTCCAAGCTGTTTTCTGGCTTTCGGCTGGCCTGTTGGAGTGGGGGGGACACAGACCGGACTGCATCCTAGTCCTGCCCCCTCCTTGGCCATCGTGGGCGCCAGAGCAGCCCCTTGGCAGGCCCCACCCTATAAACAAACATTTCCGCCTCTGAAAGAAGGAAAGAGAAGGAAAAAGAAAGCCAGACTTGTCGGGAAGCAGGAACAACATGTCAACATGAAGGGCAAACAGGGCCCCGGACAAAGTGTGGACTGTCATATCGAGTGGGAGGAGGGGGCATTGTCAGCGCCGTTTGCAGACTCAGAAATAGCACCCACCACAGACATTGGAGTCAGGTCCGCAGCAGGCTCCTGCCCTCAGCACAGCAGAACCTGCCCAGGGCAGGCATCCCGAAAGATCACTTTTCAGGTTCCTTCCGGAACCTGCTGGGGCCTGGGGAATTGGGAGATTGTTGACAACCCCCCCCCCTCCAATCACCCACCAACCAGGTTGTCCCTAAGGCACCTGGTGTGAGCACTTTGGAAAAGGCTGCTGGTCTGGATTCCAAGCCACCCTCTGACCAAGAGTGGAGGTTAGGGGTGGGGAGCAGGGGGCCACTGTTCCCCTCACAGCTTGGCCAGTTAGATGGTGGTGAAGCTGCAGCCACCGACTCACCCCTGTTGGTTAAGCCTGTGCCCAAACCCCATCCCCCTGTGTGAGCCTGAGTGTTCCCCACCCCATGATCTCCTGGGATGCCTCAAAAATGCAGACACCTTGGCCTTGCCAGAGTACTCGAATTCAGAAGTTCTGGATGGCATCTCCATAGTTTCAAAAGCTTCCCAGGGGAGTTAGCTGCTCACTAGAGAGCCTCCTCCCTCCAAGGGCTGCTTGTGCACAAACATAAGCGTTTGATGCCCAACTCTTGGTGAGTGCAGACATTACTGAGTGCACTTGTCATTTTCCGTATTATTAGTTATTTCTGTTGCTGTTTTCTGGGCTAGAGTAACTGTTGCCTTATGTATGCATTCACTAAGCTGGCCTGGGCATGTGCCTCGCTGTTCCCACTTGGACACCATCTTTGGGCATGGTTTGCCTTCCTTTCCAATTGGCCATCTTGGTTTTTGAGCTGCTGGGTGTCTGTGATGCTCAGGGTTCCAGCCCTCTTAAGCTGAGCAGATTGTTCCTCTTGAGGAAAAATGTGTGGCTGGTGGGGGTTGGGATGGCTGGTCTTCCAGGCCATTGGTAGAAGCCAAAGTCACCTTCACCTCCCGCAACAGAGGAGAGAGAAGAGTTAGCCCTGAGTATACAAGGCTTCTAGAATTGGGGTGTTTTCCCCAGACCCGAGGAAAAGCATATCCTCTGCCATAGTGAGGTCAGATCACTGTTCTAAAGTCCAGGAGCCTTATCTCCTCTCAACACCTGCTCGTCTGCAAAATGGGGGTGATAGTTACCTCCTCTGCAGGCCCGCCAGGAGGGCTCAGTGAAATGGTACCGCTCAAGCCCTTCACCCAGTGCCCGGCGCCTGGAGGAGGCGCTGCTTCGGCTGGAGGTGGTGTCACCATTCCTACTGACATCGTAACCCTCCTGTTATTATTTGTGGCAGAGCCAGGCAGCCCCGTGGGGACCCAGTGAGCTTCCACGCCTCAAGCCCCAGACTGCACCGGCTTTTCCCACAGTTGCATCACAACGGCGCGTCTGTTGCTCAGGAGAGCGCCCAGGAGCCGCTCCGTCACAGTTGTCTATCTCCAGTGTCCTGTTGATAAGATCTGTTCACATTCTCAGCTCCAGGTCTGAAATATACAAAGAACAGGGCCTGTTTGTTCAATCCAAGCTTCTAAGGTTTAACTCCCAAAGGAAATTAAATTAGACGCCTGGAGCTATGACAGTCTGTCGTGTTTCTTTGCAGGGAATGTCACCCTTAATATCATGCAGATCTTGTGTATAATTTTCTCTGTTTAATTCTTTTAAAATAATGTGAAGTTTCCAGCAGGAACCAGCAAATCACCAAAAGTGAAAATTGAGGCGCCACCAGCGTTTGTCCCCTTTTCTGGTCTTGCCATCCTCTCCCCCAGCTGAGTATAAAACGAGTCCACACCCAGATGGCGCGCTAGCCTGGTGCGGTTCTGCTGACAGTCACCATAACGCACCCTCTCTCCACCACCTATCCCAGACCTGTGTCAGAGGAACTGGCTTGGGGCTGAGCTCAGCGTTAGTGGGGTTGTCTTGCCCCTTGTTGAAAAACAGCGCTTCAGTGTCTCACTGGGTGGTCGCAGTCCCTGTGAACCCTCCCCTCCACCTCAGCCCTGGCGCTACAGTCCCAGGCCTATTTACCTTCCTGGCAGAAAGTCCCTCCCTCCGAATTATTTGTGGGTTAGAAATCAGCGCAGCCTAGCCCGGCCTGGAGCCACTGTAATATAATTGGGTTTTAGGTATGCTTGTGTTTGTGCTAGCATTTGCAGAGATGGCAGTGAGCCCCGGAAATGCCAAAAATATGAATGTGACTTTTGTGCTACTGAAGCCAACTGGTGATAACTGGTAGGGAAACTCTGGACTGTGCGGGGCGGGGGAGGGGGGGAACCCTGGGATAAGAGGAGGAGCCAAGGCTCTGGCAGTGGGAAGACTGGGGTATGATGGGGAAAGAGTCACAGGAGTCTGGGAAAAGGATCACCCAGTCCCACCTGGGGGCACTTGGAGGAAGAATGGGGGCGGGAGGGGGCCCCCTCAGGTGGGCATTTCCCTAGACTGACTTTGCCTGTCTAAATCTTGTCTCTGTCCTCACTGGAGGCCTGAGCTCCTCAAACAGAAAAAAACTTGGGTGAGATGGGGGCCAGTGGTCAGAGCTATTTTGTTGCTGACTGTGGGCTTGCAGCCTGGAAAGGAGACGTCCTTTGGCTCCCTGTCAACCAAGAGAGGGTGCGTGTCCAGGTAGAGCATGGACTGCTTTCAGGCCTGTGTCCCTGGGGCCCCACCCAGGGCCGGGCCTAGCAGAGGCACCTAGGGAATGCCGTGGAATTCGGTAGATTGGTGGGCACATGAGCGGAAGAGTGAATAAAGGCGTCAGTGCTGTGGCGGGAAGAGCCCTGGGTGTGGCGGCTGCACTTCAGGCACTACTCTAGAGTCCAGATAGGTCTGGGACATGGTCTTATCTCAGCCGCTCACAAGCCATGTGACACTGGGCGTATTACATAACCTGTCTGTGCCTCAGTTTCCTCATCTCGGAGGAGACTCAAGGAGATAAGATACATGAGCAGTCAGCACAGGGCCTGGTATGGTGGTGGTTTGCTCACCCGGGCTTCTCATTCCTTGCTCCCGCCTCCACCCCATCAACTTCCTTCCTTTGGAGTCCTCCATCCCATGTGGTCTCCAGCGACCCCACTTGCTGCTCTTCTGCTCTCCCGTGCCATTTCACTTCATCTCACAAGCTGACTATATTCCAGATATATATATATATATATTCCGATATAGGTGTATATATATGCACACACACACACACACACACATACTCCACTTATCGGAGTGGACAACTACCAGGGGAAACCTGAGGAGTATTTTCTCAAGTTCTTGATCCCCATCCTTCTAGAGGGGTTTCCCTCAGCAGAGTCATTCACCTTGGTCTTCACCCCATTGTCTGTCTTCCTCTGTGCCTCCCCTGGGGCATTCAAAGTTTGCTGGAGGAGGCAAAGCAGAGGCAGGTGGAGCCACAGACTGGGGGCGTATAGAAGGGTCTTGTGCCAAGGCCAGGAAGCCCCATGGGTCAGCACAGGGAGGAGAAGGGTGGAGGAAACGGGTCAGATTGGGAAGAGGAAAGACACCCTCAGCCTGGGCCCGGTGTGGTGCAGGCCTGGTGTGAGCTTGTCCTGACTCCGCAGAGCGAGCATGAGCAGAGGAGCCAGTTGGGAAAATGGCCCATCAGGTTGAGGAAGGCCCGTGAGGGTAGGGCTTGTGCCAGCTGAATACCGGGGCCAGGCTGTCCTAGACATCAAAGTATGAAGTGACAAGGCATCAGACTAGAACAGCGAAGTGGGACAGCCGGGAGGTGATCTGGAGAAGAGGTTTCTCAGAGGAAGTTGTGAAGAACTCAGTGGCTGAATGAGGTCAGCAGGGCAAGGGTTTGGGAGCTTCCAGCTTGAGAAACTGTGGATACTGCAGACGGAAAGGGGACTTGAGAGCCCCCTTTCCATCTGTAAAATGAGAGAGGGTGGTGCACAGTCTCCAAATTCTCCAGCTCAGACATTCTTGGATATACCTTCTGGGGCATTTCCAGATTCCAGACAAGGCCTGTATTCCAAATCCAAACAGATTCCTTTTGTCCTACCACGTCGGGAGTGAGGGGGAACTTGGGAGCCCGGCTGGGCACGGGGCATGTTGGCGATCACTCTTGCCCAGCCGCCCACTTCTCCCTGCCGCTCCACTGCACTGCAGCGTGCCGGAGGCCCAGACTGCCCAGCCCGTATCCCTTCTGGGGACCAGCACTACATTCTCTCCAGATATCCCCACCTTGCTTCCCCATCGTCCTCTGACACCCTTCCTTCCCTGCCCTGGTCCCTGCGGGATTGCAGGCAGGTTGGGGGGGTGGGGGAGAACGCCAGTCTGAGATAGGCTTCCAGCACTTCCATCTGTCCCTAGAACAGGCTCACAGCTCCTCCGTGGCTAGAAGAAAGATCCATGGCTTGGCAGTTGGCAAAAAGACCATATATTAAAAAATAATAATAAACGCTTGTCTTGTGCCTTCTTCCCAGATTCTGTTGACTGAAGAGTTTGTAGAGAAAATGTTGGAGGACTTAGAAGATTTGACTTCTCCAGAGGAAGTAAGCCTGTTTCATTCTAACAGCGGCTTCCAGTCTCCAGGAGCCCATGTGTGTCTTTCGGTCTGTCAGTCTCTGAGGTGTGGGGATGGGCTGGAGAGGAGCTCCCGCAGATGTGAAGCAGCTTCATTTCTGGCCGCCCCCACCCCAGCCATCATAAGGACACCCAGCCAGTTGTCTGAATCGGCAGCTTCCGAGAAGCTCACTGCCGGGGCAGCCAGGGCCTTTGGGCTAGTAGTTCTTCCCCAGCCCCTGCTGTTCCCTGGCAGGTTCCGAACAGAAAGCCCACACCCGCTGCCAGAGAATATTCCACTGGGGAGTTCTGGTGGCAGTGAGGGACTCCTGCTCTTGCCTCAGGCCACCCAGGAGCCGGCCTCCTTCCTCGCTTCTCCAGCCAGGAGCTCTCCCCTCTTGGTCTGCCCCTTCCAGCCTGAGACCCTGGCCGGCCAGGTGGGAGCTTGTGCCTTTCTTGGCTACTCATCTGGGGTACAGGAATGGAGCCCATAATCCCCTTTGTTTTTTTTCCTTGTTCCTGGCATCCTCATTTGCAGGGACTTACCTCATCCTGGAAAGTCCCTTCCCCTCCCCCGGCCTCCTACTAAGCAGCACCCCAGTGGGATCTGAGCCTTCCTGGCCTCAATGCCCCATAGGTTAGTGGAACATTAGCAACCTAGCCAGGCCTCTGGAGAGCTCTTCTGGGCCCTCCCCTGCCTGTGGCAGAGACGGACAGACCCTTCCATTGCCCTTTCTGCCGGGAAGCGTGTTTGGGGGAGAGCTCCTTCAGCTCCCAGGGGCCAGCCTTTCAAGCCAGAGGGAGGCCACGTAGGAGCTAGCTTCCAGCCAGGTCTGGAGCGAACAGTTGCCGGGGCTTCCAGGGCCACATCAGCCGGGACATGGTGGCCTCCATCACCCTCCAGGTGGAAGAGAGCCCACAGGGTGAGCCTGTCCTGTCCAGGTCTCCAGGTGGACAGCAACTCCTCAGAGCCTGAGGTCACCTCTGTCCTCTGGGATGTGGCTTGAGAAGTTAACTCATTTACACATTCCAAAGCCACCCGTCCCCCGTGTGTGCCAGCCAGTCAACCCCCACGAGTCACTGGTCCCTGAGGCCTGGCTCCTATTGAGTCAGCCCAGAGCCAGCTACCCAGAAGCGCTTCCGGAGAGGCCGCGTCGCACGGGGCGGTGCCCGTCGCAGGGGGTGGTGCGGCGCCAGACTGTAGCTTTGAGCCTGGGTGTTGAGGAGGTGGGAGGGGGACTGTCCAGGCAGGAGGGACAGGAGCCAGGGGGAGCTCAGGAAAGTAGGTCACTAAAAATGACTTTTTTTTTTTTTTGGTTCTCTGTCCGGAGGCTGTCCCCACAGCCAGCTCCACTCTCCACTTAGGTCCTGGCTCGGACAAGTCTCCCATCAGAGGGAGGGAGACGGGGCCAGCCACTTCCAGCCCCAGCTCCAGGCAGGCCGAGGGCCCTGTTCTTTCCTCCTATCCAGCCTGGCCTGACTTCTCACCTAGCCCCGGGACAGTAGGAGTCATAAAAGGCAGACCCTGTTTTCAAGTCAGTGAGCATCTAGTGAGCACACCAGCTGTGGGCCAGAGGAAGTGAGATCCATCAGCCTCTTTCCCCCACCCCAGACAGAAGCCTGAGACGCAGAACTGTCAGCGAATCAGTGATCCCTGGGCTCTCATTGGCCACCACTGGCACCATGCTCACGGTGGTGACCCTGAGAAACAGACGAGCTTGAACAGAGGGGAGCAGGCTGGGGATGCACCAGGCCCAAGAAATCACCTCCAGCCACACTTGTCCTGCTCCTCTCCTCCCACTGAGGCCAAGCCAGGGCCTCCTTCCCTTTGGACCCTTTGGCAAAGGCCACAGAGGGCAGGTTCTGGGGTCCTTCGGCACCAGCCCCTGCAAGAGAAGCCATGGCAGGGACAGGACCACAGAGTTCCAGACCTCAAGCCACTTCCCTGAAGCATCTGCACCCTCCCACCCTGCCCCCATCCCCCAGCCCCAGGGCCTCAGGGAGCAGATTCCTTACATGCTTGTGGCCGGAGGCAGAACCAAGGAAGTGAGCTGGAGGGAGGTCAGCACAGTCAAGAAAGAGTTAGAAAACATGCCTCCTCCAACCCCAGTTAATTATTGGCAGGGCAAGGGGAAAGAAGGGGTCACCGAACTCCAGCAGCTTAACCTCAGCCACCCACCTGGGAATAGCATTTGCGATTGAAGCCAGGCAACCGGTGGCCTCTCTTGCCCCCAGCACCTGGGGGACGGGACGCGGGTGAGGGCCCTGGGCTCTCTGTAGGCAGTCGGGACAGAAGGCCGGGAGTGGTGCTAACTGTGTGCACTCTGGCTCTGTGCTTGCTCCCTCCGCAGTTCAAACTTCCCAAAGAGTACAGCTGGCCGGAAAAGAAGCTCAAAGTCTCCATTCTTCCCGACGTGGTGTTCGACAGTCCCCTGCACTAGCCTGGGCTGGGCCCTGCAGGGGCCAAGGGAGAGCCCAGCTGCTCCCGGGTGACTCCCAGTGCACCAACTGCGGACACGCGATCCCCACAAATGAAAGGACACGCCTGAGGAGGGCTGTGCAGCCTCCGCACGGCCTCACCTGAAGCTCAGGGGCCTCCCCCGCCGCCCCGAGCCGGCCAAGCCCCCGGGGCTGGGAGCGGGCAAATGCAAACGTCCCCCTCCTGCTGCTGCCGCAGCTCGTGGTTTGAGATGTGACTCTGGACCTTTGATGGTGTGCCCTTAGGTGGAGACCGGCCTCACTGTCATCTCTCCCCTGCCCGCTCCAGCAGGAGGGAGTGGAGTGGCCGTGGCGCACACGGCCCAGCTCTGCTGTGGGAAGCCTTGTTAGGCCACGGAACAATTCCTCCGATGGTGTTTGGTTTTCTTCCTCCTTATTTTATTTTGTCGAAACCGGATGGTATTTTATTGGTCTTCAAAGATGTCCAGAAGCCGTGTATATAATGTTTTTTAAACAGAACTTTATTCGCAGATGAACTTTCTCATTCTCTCAGACGAGGGCCTGGGGCTGTCTCCCCCTGAGCTACCACCAGAGAAGGTGCCGGGGTTCAGTTCGCCTGCCAGCCCAGGACCCCGGAGGAGCCAGCTTCACAGAGAGGCTTATTTCTTCCCAGCGGGGCCTGGTGGAGCTTGGGGCAGGGGGAGAGCTGAGCTCTGGCCCCATGCAGCCTTCGGCCCGTTTAGCCAGCTGGGGCCAGGAGAAGGTGCTGCTGGTTCTAAAGCGGACTAGGCCCCTGGCAAAGTTCCAGGACCACCAGGGTCTCAGAGACTTGGTAGCCCCAGCCTCATCTTCTGGGCCTTGTCCACCTGACCAGGCCTGCCTGAGAGAAGGTGAGGCCCAGCACCTTGTAGACCATCCCCACCTGCCACTCAGGGCCTAGGTCTCCAGCTCTTTGACCACTCCTGTCCCATTTCCTCCTCCCCTGGGCCTCCCAGCCTCCAGGCTGCAGGACTCTGGCATATTAAAAATGGAAAAATCAACCTCTCACCATGTCCTTCACTTTGATTTTGCAAATACCGCACTCTGCTGCCCTCATCCTCCCTGTGTCCATTCGTTTCTTGTCTTTCATTTTCATTCCCCGTTCTCCATATCATTCCCCATGCCTCTTTTCCTGCATCCTGGTCTCCCCCAGTCCCTTGCCCCACTACTGCAGATCTCATGGTCTTCCTCCCAGGAATAGACCTATCTCTGGCCCGTGGATTTGGGGTTCCTCTTGGGTTGTCTCCCACTTCTGACCTGGAATCAACAAGCCCCTTCGTGCCCTCTCACCCCTGACTCTAGGGACTGCTATTTCAGGCCTTTCCAAAGCAAAGTCCTTTGGTCTGTCACGGGCCTCGTAGGGCCATGCACTGCCCCGTCTGCACCCGCCACACACACGGCCACTACAACAGGGCCCCGGGTGGCCCATGCAGGACGCCTCTGATGAGAGACTCAGCCAAAGAGCTGCCTCCAGGGGTCATGAGGGCAGTGGCCAGGCTCTCCAGGGAGCAAGATTTGGACTTCCAAGGGGCCACTAGGCCCTGGCCGCTTCTCTGCACACACCCTCAGGGCTACCCAGTTAACTCCATCAAACTCAGAGCTTCAAGGTGGATCAGCCTGGGAGACTGGGAGAGAGAGGCTCCTGGCCTCCACCAACGAAGATGGAAGCTCCTCTGGACCTGATGTTGGGCGCAGCTGTGCCTTCTGCTCCAAGGACTTTTCCAAAAGGACATTTTCTGGCCGCTGCCCACCACAACACCTCTGCCTTTGAAGCTCTTGTCATCTAATGTTTCATGGCCGGAGAGGCGTCATTAGCTTGTCTCCTTTCCGTGCCACCCTGGCCCACCGCTCCACAAATTCTTTCTTTCTGGGGACCTGCCTCTGCCTGTCTGCTTTGGCTGATGGGGAGGAAGGTATTTTCTGAGCTAAGCTTTGTTATCAGTACGGGAGGCAGGCGGGAAGCCGGTGAGCTCTGAAACAGTGAGCCCATGAAGCCTGTGGCCCCTTCCTGCCCCATGATGCCAGCCACCTCCAAGGCATCCACCATCTCTGACCAGGCCTTCCAGAGGTTTCTCTGGGAGGGGGCTCTCCACTGAGCTTCTGGCTGGTGAGAGGGGAGCCTCACTGAGGACCAAGTGAGGCCGACCCCGTAGCGTGCCCGGCATAGCACTTGGCGTACAGTGGGTACTCACTAAATGTACCGCTTCCTTCCCTCCCTGCGGCACTTCGGGAGCCCTGACATAATAAGTCCGGGAGGTAAGAAGCCTCCCTCCTAAATCTGCCTCTTCCTCGTGGCTTCCTTGTGGCTTGCCCAGTCCCACCCCTCCCCTCCAGGTCCCTGTGGCTCAAGCTTCTGAGAGGATGGGGCTCCCCTGTACGTACACACGGCAGACTCTTGGACTCCTCAGGTCCCGTGTGGGCTGCAGGTGGGCTGCAGCCCCAGCTGTCATTCTGAGGGGGTAGAGTGGCTCATGCAAGGTCTCAGGTCTGGCCAGGGACCTGGTCCCTCTTCCTGCCCTTCTCTTCCTCTTCCAAAGGCAAGGCTTCAGGGCAGGGACTAGGAAGCCTTGGGGAGAGTCTAAAGGGCTAGAGCATTTTTAAAAATGCACACAGGGTCTTGGGGCTGGGTTTTGAGATTGAGTTGAGAGCAGGGAAAAAAAACCCCAAAGGTTGGTGCCCCTATGGGGCAGACCAGTAGAGAACTCCCTTGACTGTATTTTTTTATCCAGTTGTCTTTCCTCTCTGGCTTCCAGGTCCTCCGCGCCAGGTAAGGTGCCTGGGTCCCTGTTACAAGTCAGGAGCCCTGTAGAGAGAGCCCTCCTTTTGTACAAGTACCTGAATGCTGCAATGAGCAGACTTTTGTAAAATTTTATATTAGTTTCTAATGTCGACTGCGACTCGGTTCCTGGGGGCTGCAGCCAGCCTGGGACTTTTGTAAGAATTTTTGGGTGACTCACTTAGATGTCGTTTCCTTCTTGCTCCCTCTTCCTCTGTGTAATCTAAGTGCATTAAACATATTTGCAGAAGTGCCTGGATCTTGTGCTCCTTTTTGGATGCCTGGAGTAGGGGAGCAGCAAGCCTGGCAGAGGGGTGGGTTGGACTCAGCCACTTAGAAGAAACCGGGATGGGGGAAGGGCCCCCGAAGACTGTTGTCAGGAGTGGAGGGGGTGTCAAGGAGCAGGATCACGCAGCTGGTGACTCTAGAGTCATGCAGAAATGACTTTGCAGGCTCCCTTTCACTGGTCTTCAGTTCCTCTAGGGTCATGGGGGATGTAGGAGCAAGAAACAGGTCTGGGGAAATGGGTGGGTCAAGACCCTCTTTCTTCCTCTTCTGCTCTCCTCTCACCAAAAAGCCCTTTCCCCTTGGGAAGGTGGACCTTCCTTCCCTCCAGTTTTAGAGTTCTTGTGTCCCAGCTTGGGTCAGGAGATGCTCACTGCCCTCACCATCTAAATTCAACCTCCTGGGATGGACAGGCAGCCTCAAAACCATCACACCCACTGGGTGACACAGAAGGTGGCCCTCCCTTCCCATGAGCCCCTCTGGGCCTGGCCTTGGTGAGGAGGTGGTGGATTTTCCTTCCCTGGAAGGAAGTGGCCTGGCACAACAGAGCCCAGTCCCCGTGGAGAGAAGGCAGCCGCCTGGGACCTTAAGAGGCAGGCAGGAGAGGGTCTGCACCCCGACGGGGTTCCCAGAGCCTGCAGGGCTGCTCTAAACCTTCCCGCCTTCTTTCCCTTCCTGCCAGGCCTGGTTGTCTGTCTCGGAGAACAGCAGGGCCTTTTCTCATGCCAGGTGTTCTGCTGGGGCTAGTGGCAGAAGTCCTGGGGGGATCAGCTCATGCAAAGGGACTCTGTCCTCTTAGAGAACCAGCCGTATCTCGGGGAGCTTTCCCCAGGCAGAGGTCAGTACTCCTTCCCCTGTGACCTCCTACTGAACCCCTGGAGGAGTGGGCCAGGTCGTGTCTGGGGTCCTCAGTCACTCTGGCAGTCAGAGCAAGGGAGCTGGGAGGGCCTGGACAGACGGACCATCCCAGGGTGGCCCAGGCCACACCCCTTCCCCTTTTCTTTTCTCCTTGGAGATTGGGAAGCAGGGTGGAGGGGAGGGCTGATTATCTAATCCTCCTCATCTGACCAGCCTACAAGCACCCAGGGTCAGAGTGAAGTTCCTGCTCCAGAGAGTACAGAACAGCAAGATCCTGTGTTTAGCTGGTTCCAGGAGACAGGATGAGGCTGAGATTATTTCTGGAAAGAGGCTCCTGGGCCTATAGCAGAGACCCCACCCTAGATTTAGGGAGGGGAGAAATCTGCCATGTGATATGTAATGTCACCTCCAAAAGGCCTGTACATTCCTCCAGGCATCTGCTCTGCCCCATGTGGGGTGGGAGGATGTCAGGGGCCCTGGGTGAGGGGGACCCACAGGATCCAGAGCCAGGGGGCTAGGGAGCCTAAGAGATTTACTAAACTGGCCTAACCAGGAGAATGCAGCTGGAAGTGAGTCAACCCAGGCTGCCAGGCACTGAGGCAGCTGAGGAGGTGGGGAGGCCAGGGTGGCGGAGAGGGAGTGCTGTGCTGGGCAGGAGAAGGGGGAGATTAGTCCCAAGACTGCGGTGGTGGTGGTGGGGGGTGCCAGGGCAGGATGTGGTCTGGGAGGGGCAACCATCTCAGGCCCCTTCTGTGGGGGCACCATGGGACTGACCCAGTCCCCTCCTCTCCTCCTTAACTGCCAGGAAGTCTTTGGGAGAAAGCTACGGACAGGATGGGGGAAGGGGAAAGCTGCCTGCTGGTGGGTGTCCACGGTCTATGTTCATTCCTTCCTTCTTTCAACAAACGTATGCCCGGCCCTCTGCTGTATGCTGGGAGACTGGGAGACTGGGAGACAGGACACAGGCCTGGCCTTAGGAGTGTGTGGTGCAGTGGGGAAAACAGACAAGGAAACATCTGCAAGGAAGAGCCACAAAGGAGAAAGGCACTCAGCTGCTTTCTGTCCTACCCTAACTCCACCACTTGTCAGTGTGACTTTAGACAGGTTTTTTTCATCTGCAGATGGATACTCACTTCTCAGAGTTTTTGCAAGGATTATATGAGATAATACACCTGAGATGCCTGGCACATAGTAATTGCTCAATTAGTGTTAAGCCTTTATTAAAGGGCTATGCTAGGGTACAGACATAGAAAAGGTACCCAACCCAGTCTGGGAAGATTTAAAAAGGCTTCCTGAAAGAAGTGGCATCTAAGTCAAAACTGAAGGATACTTAAGGATGAAGGGCAAAAGAAGAGGGGCTTTATTTTCAGAAACCCTCCAGACAAACAGGACAACAAGGACAAAAGCCCCAAAACTCTTCTTGGGATTTGGAGAGCTCAAATTGCTTAAGGTTTTAAAGCATCAAGCTTGGGCGCCTGGGTGGCTCAGATGGTTAAGCGTCTGCCTTCGGCTCAGGTCATGATCCCAGGGTCCTGGGATCGAGTCCCACATCGGGCTCCCAGCTCAGTGGGGAGCCTGCTTCTCCCTCTGACCCTCTCCCCTCTCATGCTGTTTCTCTCTCGCTCGCTCTCTAAAAAATAAATAAAATCTTTAAAAAAAAAAATAAAAAAAGCATCAAGCTTTCTGAAAGAGAGCAAGATTGGAGGCAAGGACCAGGTAGGACTGGATTAAGGTAGAAGCAATAGGGATGGAGAGAATGGAACTCATTCATTGAGTCAACAAATATTTATTGAGCACCTACTATGTGATAGGTCCCGTTCTAGGCACCAGAGATATATTATTAAAAAAAATTCCTCCTTTCATAGATCTTATATTTTAGTGATGGGAGATAGTATTTGTTTAGAGTAGAATACTTAGTACATGGATATATGTGCTATGGTGAAAAAAAATAGAGGAGGAGAGATAGGCTGGTGTGGGGCGGTGTTTTTAAATACAGAGGTCAGGGAAGGCCTCCCTGCATAAGTGACATTTAAGCAAAGGATCTCAATGACAGGAAGAAGTGTGCAATAGGGACACCTGGAGGAAGAATGGTCCAGGCAAAGTGAAGAGCAACTGCAAAGACCCTGGGGTTAGGGGAGACACACCAGGTGTATTTGAGGAACAAAAGAGGACGCCAGTGTGGCTGGAGCAGAATGAGAGAAGGGGAATAACAGATTACTTATACAGAGGTCAGCTTGTGGAGAACCTTGCAGGCAATTATAAAACTTGGACTTTTATTCTGGTTGACATGGGAAGCCATTGGGAGATTTTGAGCAGAAGAGTGACACAATCTGACATATGTTTTTAAAATAATTTTAAATATATTATTTTAGAAAGAGAGTGAGCAAGGGGAGGGACAGAGGGAGAGAATCTCAGGCAGATTCCCTGCTGAGCAGGGAGCCCCACGCGGCACTTGATCCCATGACCCTGAAATCATGACCTGAGCTGAAATCAAGAGTCAGACACTTAGGAGTGCCTGGGTGGCTCAGTTGGTTAAGCGACTGCCTTCAGCTCAGGTCATGATCCTGGAGTCCTAGGATCGAGCTCCGCATCGGGCTCCCTGCTCAGCGGGGAGTCTGCTTCTCCCTCTGACCCTCTCCCGTCTCATGCTTCTCTCTCAATCTCATTCTCTCTCTCAAATAAATAAAATCTTAAAAAAAAAAAAGTCAGACACCCAACTGAGCCCCCCAGGCGCCCCACAATTTGATGTATTTTTTTTTTAAGATTTTATTTATTTATTTGACAGAGAGAGACACAGAGAGAGAGGGAACACAAGCAGGGGGAGTGGGAGAGGGAGAAGCAGGCTCCCGGCAGAGCAGGGAGCCTGATGCGGGGCTCGATCCCAGGACCCTGAGATCATGACCCGAGCCGAAGGCAGACACTCAACCAATTGAGGCACCCAGGTGCCCCAATAAATAAATCTTTAATTAAAAAAAGAGAGAAGCATCTATAACACCTGATTGGATAGATAAGGGAGATGAAAGACAGGGAGATATTAACATTGCTTCCCTGATCCTTGGCTTGGTAACTAAGCGGCTGACAGTTCCACTGACTGAGATGGGGGGACACAGTGGATGAAAACAGGCTGGAATGTGAAGAGGATGATGAGTTTAGTTATCAGTACATTGAATTCAAGGTGTCTGTGAGACATCTGGGTGGACAGCATGGTTGGCTACACTGACTGCAACCGGGAGGGTGAACTTCTGGACTGGAGATACTGAGTGGGGAGCCATCAGTATACAGACAGTAATAAGGCTTTAAGAGTGAGAGGCTCCAGGGAGCAGGTGTAGATTAGTAAGAGAATAGAATGGAGGGCAGGGCTCTGAGGACTGTCAACATTTATGAGATGGAAATTGGAGAAGTCTGTGGTTAGAAAGATAAGAAGAGAACCAGAAGAGTATGATATCTTACAAGTTAAGGGGATCGGTGTAGAAAGGTGAGGAATGTAAGGAATCCTTTAGGTTATCCCGGAGGGCATTGGTGAGGAAGCCAGAGAAGGACCCTCCAACAGCTCCAAGCTAGACCTTGTTTCTCTGTACTATCTTTAGAGCATGCAATTAAGGGTTAGGGCTTGGAAGCCATTTTCTCCTTGTTTGTTCATTCAGACATGCAAGCATTCATTTATTCATTTATTCAACATTAAGATCTCCCATGTGGGGGGATGCAAAGTGCTGAAGACACAGGGGCTCTGTCCTTGAAGGGCCCACATTAGCCCCCCAATCAGGAATAAGGAGATGGAGGTCCTAGAGCAGAGAGGCACTCTGGTTTTATGGAAGGATCAGGGACCCATTGGTTACTCTGAATTGGATTTGAATCTCAGTTCTACCATTTAGAATGTAATTGCTGATGACTCCAAAATCTATAATCTCAGTACAAACCTCTCTCAAGTCTGTATATATGATTATCTGTGCAACATTTCCACTGGGATATCTGAACCAACTCAAATTTAACTTAGAACTCCTGAAAAATCTCCCCACCCAATCTAATTCTCTTCAATTCTCTCCTTCTTGGTAAATGGCACCATCATGCAGACTCTTGCTGAGGCCCAAATCCTAAGAATCATTTAAAAA